CAGCGATTGAGACTGGGTGTGGTGGCATGCACCTATAATCCCAGCACTTGGGAGGCTGAAAACAGAAGGATCTACTATGAGTAGTGAGACTCTGTAAACCCTGTACTAAATAACATAAAAATGAAAAAGAAAAAGGAAAAATAAAATAACAACAAGAAGCTACGAGTAGTGAGACCCTGTAAACCCTGCACTGAATACATAAAACTAAAAATGAGAAAGAAAAAATAACATAAAAAGAAGCTACAAGTAGTATGACCCTGTAAACCCTGTTCTGAATACATAAAAATAAAAATGAAAAATAAAAATAAGCTACGAGTAGTGAGACCCTGTAAATCCTGTACTAAATACATAAAAATAAAAATGAAAAAAAAAAATAACAAGAACAAGCATGGAAACAAGGGCCAGCAAGACAGTTTAGCAGACTAAAGCACCTGCTTAGGGAGACGCAGGGAGTCTATCCTTGGCGTGTTGTGTTGGCCTTGTCCCGAGAGTTCGCTGGAACAGACAATTGAGACTGGTGTGGTGGTGCACGCCTGTAATCCCAGTACTTCAGAGACTGAAAACAGGAACACTACAAGTAGTAAGACCCTGTAAACTCTGTACTAAATACATAAAAAATAAAAATAAAATAAATTTGAAAAAGACACAGGCTCTGGCGGGGGGGGGTGTCCTATCCCCCGGCCTGCCCTGCTGGCCCCCCCCCAGGGGGCACTGAGACAGCAATGAGACTGGGCGCAGTGGCGCACACCTGTTATCCTAGCTCTTAGGAGGCTGTAAACAGGCGGATCACTAGGAGTCCCATCTAGTAGTGAGACCATGAACACCCTGTAGACCCCTAAAATACTAAATATATAAAGCAATCACCTGCTTAGGCAGACGCAGGGGTCGGAGGTTCGATCCTCAGCCTGCTGTGCTGGCTCTGCCCCCCCGGGCGAGCTAAGAAAGCAATGGAGACTGGGCACGGTGGCACGCGCCTATAATCCCAGCACTTGGGAGGCTATAAACAGGAGGATCACTATGAGTCCAATCTACACAGTGAGACCCTGTAGACCCTGTCCTAAATACAAAAATAAATTAAAAGCAACATATAAAAATGCTACAGAATTTCAAAGCAAGAATAGAAAATTAACAATGATTGTTATGTGGCTTTTATTAGAGCCGGCCAAATAGCTCAGCGGATTACAGCGCCTGCAAGCAGGTACAGGGGCTGGGGGTTCAATCACCAGGCCTGCTGTGCCGGCACCGCCCCCAGCACAAACTGAGAGGCAATTGAGACTGGGAAGTGTGGTGGCACACACCTATAATCCCAGCTTGTAGTGAGACCCTGAACACCCCGTAGACCCTTCCCTAAAATACAATAAATAAGAAAGTAGCAAGCTCCTGCTTAGGCAGACGCGGAGGATCGATCCTCGGCCTGCTGTGCTGGCCCCGCCCCCGGGGCGCGCGGAAACAGCGATTCAGATGGTGCGGTGGCGCGCGAGCACCTGTAATTTCAGCAGTTGGGAAACAGGAGGATCATTATGAGTGATCTACGCAGTGAGACCCTATAGGTGCTATAGACCCTGTCCTAGTTACCTAAAAAATAAAATTAAATCAACAAAATAATAAAAATGTGGGCGGGCCAAACAGCTCAGCAGATTAAAGCGCCTGCTAGCAGGAGCAGGGGCCGGGGATGACCCTGGGGCCTGCCATGCCAGCCCCACCCCTGGGGCGCGCTGAGATGGCCATTGAGACTTGGCGTGCACCTGGAATCCCTGCTCTTGGGGGGCTGTAAACTGGCGGATCACTGGGAGTATGAGTCCAATCTAGTACTGAGACCTTGAACACCCTATAGACCCTTCCTTAAAATACCAAAAAAAAAAGAACTTTTAAAGGGAAGCACCTGCCTCACAAGCGGCAAGGCCCCAAGTTCAATCCCCAATACAGAAAAGAAAAAAAAAAAACTTTTAAAGGAAAACTTACATTTTTTTTTTGAGCCTTGGATGAGTTCGTTTATTGACTAATTGTAAAAATTTCAAACATTCACAAAAGTAGAAACAACAGACAGTAATATGACAATACCCCATGTACCCAGCTTTAGTAATTATGTACTCCTGGCCAACCTTCTTTCCACTCTACTCCATTCCTACCTCTACTAGATTATTTTCAAGCAAATCCTAGACACAGTTTCTCCCTTAAAATTTCATTTATTTATTCTTTTGTTTTTGAGATAGGGTGTTGCTATGTAACTCAAGCTGGCCTCAAACTTGTGGTCTTCCTTAGTCTCCCAGAGTGCTGGGATTAAAGACCTCTGTTATAGCACCTGACTCTTCTTTTTTGTGGTGGTACTGGTGCTAGGAATCAAAATCAGTGTCTTAATGCATGCTAGGCAAGTGCTATACCACTGAGCTGAACCCCAGCCCAATGTCTTTTTCTTAACCCCCACCAGCATTTTTATGTAAGAAACTCATAGTAATTCCTTAACATCTTATCTAGTGAGTGTTTACATTTTTCCAGTTATCTCCTGAAATTATCTTTTAATGTAGGCAATTTTCCTTTCTTTTGTTTTCCTGCCATTTTTGTTGTAGAAACCAATTTATCCTGTAGTGCTTCTCATGTAGTGTTTTGTTCTAGGATGACAAAGCACATCCTTGCAGTATCCTTTAACATGCATCTTCTGTGTTTCCATTGAAAATAGTTAAGGGCTGGAGTTGTAGTTTAGTAACAGTTTATGCTTAGCATGCAGGAGGCCCTGAATTCAATCCCCAGTGCTGAAAGTGAAAAAGAAATAAAACCAGTAGTTATATTTAGGGCAGAGGTTACCAAGCTTTTTCTGTAAAGGACTAGATAGTAAATATTTTAAGCTTTGTGGGACATATGGTCTTTGTCACAACTAAACCGTAGGAGGGCAGGCACAGATAATATGTAGAAAGTATAAACAAGGGTCTGGGAATATACTTCAATGGTAGGGCATTTGCCTATCATGAATGAGTTCCTAGGTTTAATCCTCAGCGTTAAAAATGAGCATGACTGTATGTCAATCAAACTATATTTACAGTCTGTAATCCCAGCTACTTGGGAAGTTAAGACAGGAGGATCATAAACTCAGGGCCAGCCTGGCCAACTCAGAGGGACCTTATCTCACAATAAAGCAGAAAAAGGTTCAGGATGTAGCTCAGTGGTAGGGTAGTCCCATTTTTTTTTTATCTCCAGTACATACATTAGAGACAAAAAAAAGTGACAAAATGTTAATGTACCTAGAAGGAAATGTTGATATTCCTTGCAAATTTTACAAAACAGTTCAATCAATTTAAATTCTTTTAAAATAAAGTTTTTCATTTTTTTTTTGTTTGTTTTTTAGAAAACACTGATTGACAGCTGACTAAGGCATCTACTTAGGCAATACAGGGACTGGGGTTCGATCCCCAAGTGCCAAGCTGGCCCCACCCCCAGGGCACACTAAGAAGGGACTGAGACTGGGTGTGGTGGTGTGCACCTGTATTCCCAGGCTGAAAACAGGAGGATCACTATGAGTCCGATCTGTGTAGTGAGACCCTGTTGACCCTGTACTAAATCCACAAAAAAAAAAAAAATTGGTTCAGGTATTTTTTTAAGTATTTTAATTTTATTTATTTATTTGTATGTGTGTGTATGTGTGTGTGTAGCCAGCTCAGCCCACCAGGGGCTGGCTGGCATGTGGTGCTGGGTGATTGAACTACGGTTCCTGTGCTTTGCTAAGCTTGTTCAAAGTAGGTGCTCTAGACCATTGAGCCATCTCACCAGCCCTAGGTTCAGGTATTTTAAACCTGATCCAACTATTACAATTTTGTTAGCCTTTCTCCTAGTGATTTGTTTAGGTTCATTATTTCATTGGGCAATTGGAAAATGTTAATGTACAAATTCTGCCTTTCCAGTTTCATTTTTTTTAGCAGATATTCTGTTCTAAAGAAGAATTTTCTGTTATAAAAACTGTTGTGTTAATCTGTATACAGGAAAAGGAAATGCCAGCCAGATAGCTCAGCAGACTAAAGCACTCGCTTAGGCAGAAGCAGGGATCAATCCCCGCATGTGTCATGCCGCAGAGTCCTGCTTCTGTGGTGCGCTGAGATGTGCTGAGACATGGTGGTACATGCCTATAATCCCAGCACTTGGGATGCTGAAAACAACATTTGGGGTAGACGGATCACTGAGAGTTGAGGCTAACCTGGGCTACATAGTGAGTTCAAGGGCCACCTGAACTACATACTGAAACTCTATCTCAAAAAAAGAAAGGGGGTGCCAGGGAGATGGCTTAGTGGAATTAGCGCTTCCCTGGCAAGCGCAAGGGCCTGAGTTCAATCCCTGGTTCCGCAAAAAAAAAAAAAAAAAAAAAGAAAGAAAGGGCCAGACAGATAGCTCAGTGGATTAAAGCACCTGCTTAGGCAGAGCAGGGACAGGGGTTGTATACCCTGGTGTGCCATGGTAGCCCCGCTCCTGGGGCTAGCTGAGCCAGTGATTGAGACTGGGTGTGGTGGTGCATGCCTATAATCCCAGTGCTTAGGAGGCTGAAAACAAAGACGATCACTATGAGTCTGATCTTTGTAGTGACACCCTGTGGACTCTAATATATATATATATATATATATATATATATATATATATATATATATCGTGGATTTACAAATCTTCAGTGAATTCTAATTTGTTGTTGTTTTTACTCTTGATGTTCAAATTGTCCCATCTTTGTACAGTGGGAGCCTCGTCATCTATGTCTTTAAATACTATACAGGAGACTCCTCTGTTTTAGTATTTTATCTTGTAGAAGTATTGAAATATTTTGTTGGAAGTATTCAATTAAGATAATGCTTTGGGGCTGGAATGTGGTTCATTGTAGAGTGCTTGCATAGCATACATATGTCCCTGGGTTCTATTCCCCGAACCAGAAAGAAAAAATTGTTTTGGGAATAGATTTCATAAGGTAGGGAGAAAAGGCTTATGTCATTTTTCATTGAGTTATTTAGAGGAGGTGCTAGAGATTAAATTTAGACCTTTGTGCATACTATGCATGTACTGTACTACTGAACTACACTCCCAGACCCTTTTTGGTTGAATTATTTAAAGGGCTTATAAACTGGGTATGGTGGCAGACCGACTCTAGAAGTCTGAACCAGCAGGAGGGTTGCAAATTCAAGCCCAACCTGGGTAATTTAGGGACTTAGTGAAACCCTATCCCAAAATAAAAACTATCAAAAGGGTTAGGGATGTAGCTCAATACAAAGGTCATGAGTCTGATCCCCAGCACTGCAAAAAAAATGTGTATCCATTTAAAATTTTCACCCAGCACGGTTGTGCACACCTGTAATCCCAGCTCTGGGGAGGCTGAAGCAGGAGGGTTGTTGTGAGTTTGAGACCAGCCTGGGCTACAAAGTCAGCTCAAGGCCAACCTTGACTGTATAGTGAGACCCTGTCTCAACAAGACAAAATAAAAATTTCCACAGTCATACTATTATAAACAAACACAGGTGTGAGACTTTTTTTAATGCACTTGGTACAGGGTCCACAGGGATTACTGGGTCTCACTTCAGAGATGGGACTCATAATAATCCTGTTTTCAGCCTCCCAAGCGCTGGGATTATAAGCATGCACCACGATGCGGGGTCTCAATCTCCCTCTCAGTGCACCCCAAGGGCTGGGCTGTCGCAGTATGCTGGGTATCAAACCCTGACCACTGCACTCTGCCTAAGCAAGCCTTTTAGTCCTCTGAGCTGTCTGGACAGCCTTTGACTTTTTTTTTTTTCTTTTCGCTATTGGGGATCAGACTTGAGACCATGCACTTGCTAGTCAGACGCTTATGCCACTGAGCTATCTGTCCAGTCCAAGGCCCTTAACTTTCTTAGCTTATTTAGGAAGCTGAGATATAAAGTATCACCTGAGAAAAGAAAGTATCACCTGCTGGGAATTACATTGTTATGCCTAAATTTTAAAACCTATTTGTAGCCAGTTAATGGTGCACCTTTAGTCTTAGCTACTCAGGACACTGAGGCAGAAGGATCACTTGAGCTCAGGAGTTGCAGACCAGCTTAGGCAAAATAGTGAGACCTCATCTCAAAAACATACAAAATATTTGTAGCACATTACACGGAGTCAGAGCACATAGTTTCAGGGGAAGTTGCCACTGGAAAGCATTTTCTTGTGTGTGTGTGTGTGTGTGTGTGGGTGGGTTTTTTGTTTGTTTGTTTGTTTCTTAATGTATTTAGTATAGGGTCTCACAGATCAGACTCGTAATGAGCCTCTTGTTTTTCAGCCTCCCAAGTACTAGGATTACAGGTGTAATCCTAGGCACCACCATGCCCAATCTCATTCATTCTCAGCATTCCCAGGGATGGGGCCAACACAGCAGCCCCTGGCCCCTGTGTCTGCCTAAACAGGCTCTTTAATCCACTGACCTATCTGGCTGGCCCTGAAAGTGTTTTCATTATCTTTACTCCTAAACTTTTTTGAGCAACAGTGCTGGAGTTGAAGCCCAGTATCTCACCCATGGTAGGCAAACACCAATGTGGTTTTAAAGTAATTTACTGTTGGAGTAGAGAAATAGGAGACATATGTGTTTCCAAACATTCAAGCTAATTAATTCATCTTCAAATTTAAAAAAGTTTGGCAGGAGCTAGTGAGATAGCTCACAGTGGACTAACTGCCTGCTTTGGCAAGCGTAGGGACCACAGTTCAATCCTGGTCTGCATGCTGCGCTGGCCCCATCCCCAGGGTGAAAGAGTCCAGGCATGGTGGTGCATGACTGTAATCCCAGCACTGGGGAGGCTGAAAACAGAAGGATCACTACAAAGAGCTGTGTAGTGAGACCCTGTACCAAATACATATTTAAAAAAAAAAGCTTTAAAAAATTGGCAGAAAAATTCTCACAAGTTTCCTGTAGGCCCCTGGGCATGGTGGCACATACCTGTAGACCCAGCACTTGAGAGGTTGAGGAAGGAGTATCACAAATTTGAGACCAGCACATGCTTTACCATGAGTTCAAGGCCAGCCTGGACTGCATAGCAAGACTATCTCAAAAAACAGGGCTGAGAATATAGCTCAGCGGCTTAAGCACCTGCCTGGCAAGCACAAGGTCCTGAGTTTGATCCCCGGTACTGGATAAAAAGGAAAAAACTCTCAAAAAACAAAATAATTAGCCAAAGCATATAAGATATTATTGACAAAGTACTTTTCTTTGGAGCTAGGAGAAAGGAAGGCAGTTGTCATGTACCATATACTCATATTTTTGGTGTTATATGACTTGTTTGATACACATTAATATATAACTCATGATCAAAAGCCCCACAAAACAGCTTAGTAACAATTTCGTAACTTGAACATATTTCATTTTACTTCAGGACCGCCCAGCAATGCAGCTTTACCAACCAGGAGCTCGAAGCCGAAATCGACTGTGTGCCTCTGATGACAGCACCAAGTCCACAGATTCAGCAGTAGAAAAGAAGCAGGAAAGTGGTATTAGCCATAGAAAAGAAGGAGGAGAGGAGTGATAGGTTCGCATGGCTGTAGGTGTCCTGACTGTCTAGGCAGCCAAAGAGTACGTATTCTGCAATCCAGAAGTGCCTTCAGGGCAAAGGAATAGAGACTGAGAAAGGGGTCCCTGTGCCGGTGGGATACGCTGCAGAGGAGTATGTTTTGCGTCAAAGCAGGAATTTAATTGCAGGCTCAGAATTCGAAGTACGATTTCATTGTTTTTGCAATTTTTCCAAATTAATTTTACAGTGTCAGAAAAAGATGGTGGTGAGGATATGCATTGCAATTTGCAGGCAGGAAATGTCAAGTGAGAACGTAATTTTGTGTGGCAGGAGAGAAAAAAAAGAGCTGGCTCTAAAACCAAAAGGTGTTTATTAATCCTGGATCGAATATTCTTGATTTGGGTGGAGCAAAGTCACTTTGAAGTCTTGTTCAGATCTAGTTATTTTGCACTGTTGGTGATAACTGTTGACTTCGCGTAGTGTAGAAGCAATAAGCATGTAATTTGGGTACAAGTATAGTGAAGGGTGTAACAAATTTTCACTGATACAGAAATTTAAATAGTCATGTCTGTATCCTGTGTCCTAAAATCTTAGGATTAGTTTTATCCTTTTGTTTACATATAGGAGCTTAGCATCAATGATATCTTTAAACCTTTCATTTTGCCATTAGCATTTTTTTCTATTAATAGGTAAAATGTAGTCCCTGTTTGGTTCTTGACAATCCAGTCTTTGTTTTTTCTTAGGTCTCATGATCTGAGATGAGTACATACTTTCTCCAGGAAGGAAACTGCACCGATATCTGTTCCTCTAAAATAACAGCTTTAGTCTTAACCTGTTTTGTATTGTTGTCAGTAAACATCAGCTGCACTCAAGTATGAATCTCAGTGTATTTATTTGTGTTTGTGTGGTTCTGGGGATCAAGCCATGGTCTCGTGGGTGCTAAGCTTGCACTTCAGTACTCAGCTGCAGCCCCAGCCCAAGCTAAATGTGTTTATAACTTTACTGAATAACTCTTTGTTTTGAGAAATTCAGCTTTTGATACTGAATTTGGGAGTTCTGAAAAGGGTTAAATGATATTAGCTCCTGCCTTCCCTAGCCCACCAAGGAGAGCATCAAATCATGGTTCATTGTTCTTCCACAAGAACTGAAAAAAAATTTTTTTTGGAACTGTGGATTGAACTCAGGCCCTTGCGCTTGCCAGGCAAGTGCTTATTCTACTGAGCTATTTCCCCAGCCCCCAGAACTAAAATGTTTGAAGAACAAGATTTTCTTCCTGCCAGCACCTAACATGGCATCAGTTGGCCTTTACTTAATAAGTTGCTGCTTTATTATAAACCCTGAGTTTTTAGAATGCAGTCCCAGAAGTACATAAAGGAGCCATTCCAAATGATTAAAAGAAAATAGTCCCAGGCCAGGAGAGAGAACTAAAGGGAAAGGAAAATTTCAAGAACAGCTGAGTGTCCCATGCCATGAAGAGGTTGCTTGCTGGATTCAGCAGTAGTGAGCTGCTATAAGAAGCCGTGTTACAGGATGAGGGGAAGGGCAGGTGGGGCTGGCGGAGTAAGGGAGGCAGAGAAGAGACTTGAACTAGATATGTGTGAGAAATCATCTATTTCAGTTTTTCACTGAAACTATGAACATGGACTGTTACTTAGGGAAAGAGAGCAAAGGAAGAACAGGTAACCTTGGGCCCCACCTTAAAGAACATGGTAAGGAAACATCTACAAAGAAGGAATAGCCAGAGAGGAGGGAAAAACCAGAAGACTGGTGTTACTTAGCCACGAGTGTTTCAAGAAGTAGTAAGGTAGGCTGAGGATGTAGCTCAGTGGTAGAGTGCTTGCCTAGTACCAGCACCACACACGCACACAAGCCAGGCTCATGCTTACCCGCAGTCTGCACTTGGGACTGAGGCAAGAGGATCATGAGCTCAGGGTCAGCCAAGACTACACAGCAAGGCCTTCTCTAAACACAAAAAGGGGCCAGAAGGATCATGTACTAATGAAAAGTCAAATGTGCCTGAAACAAGCCATGGGATTCAATGACTTACAACTTATTAACATCTAGAGTTATGGGAGATGGAAGCCAGTAGACAGAATAGACAGCATAGATAGATAGATGATAGATAGATAGATAGATAGATAGATAGATAGATACATAGATAGATACATAGATAGATACATAGATAGATACATAGATAGATACATAGATACATAGAGATATAGATATAGATATCTGGCCATGAAGTAAAATGGAGATAGATTGATGAAAGATGACTTTTAAGTATGAGAAATACTATATAATGTTTAAAGGCCTACAGAGATATTCCACAAGTGGATATTGCCCATGAGAAATAATGATTAGTAGCATAGGTTTCTTGTAGAGGTGGGTGAAAATAGAAGCTAAGGTAGAGGGCAGAGGAGCTGGCCAAGGGGGAAGACTCTCCTGAACCATCTTCATGACTTTACATCACTGGCCTCCTTACTCAGCCACTCACGAGCTGACTTGTGGAAGTTTTCTAGTGAGCACCTCCATCTTTTATTCTGCTTGCCTTACCATCCAAGCTCCAGGTAAGCCACAATTCCCTGCCCCACCCTCTACATTTGCCCTATGCCTTTGTGTGTTTATTTTGGTTCTGGGACTCAAATACAGGACCTTGCACTTGCCAGGCAGGCGCTGTGCTGCTAAGCTATATCCCTGGCTCCCCTATTCCTGTATTCATCCAGCAGATGTACATCACTGGCTATGTGTCAGGCCTGGGGGTCAAGGATACAAGTCTTTTTTTCTTGAACTCATGGTGCAGTGGTGCTATAGAAATAATTAGGGCATGGTGCCTAATAGGAGGGCTGTAGAGGACAGAATGGTGTGGCTGTCTTTTGCACCTATAGTGCCAAGTGTTGTTAGAAAAAGTCCCCAAACCAGACCAACTGGTGAAACTATAGGAAGGCCCTCTCTCCCGCTAAACATCTTTTTTTCCTGTTCCAGAAATTGAACCTTGCACTTGCCAGGCAGGTTCTTGTCACTGAGCTATATCCCTGGCCTAAGAATGTTTTGAAATCCATTTTGAATTAACATCCTTGTGTACAGTGACACCTTTGTTTCCATCTTGCTCTAGTTCCTGACCTGGTCAGCTTTCCATGGCTGGGTCACAGTACGTGATGTACACAACTTACCAAGGAATGGCTTGCTTTGGCTCCCTGTAGCAGAGGTTTTCATGCAGTCAGTGGGCTGCAAGGCAGAAGAAGCCTCATGGCTGAAGGACATGGCAGAGAACCACTGCTCACTTTGTGGGTGCCAGGAAGCAGAGAGAGGGAAAGAGCCAGAGAGAAAGGAGCCGGGGACAGAAATAGGCCCTACTTGGCCTATTCCTGCAGCCAGGCCCACCTCCTAACACTGCCTCCAGGGATGGACTCATCGAAGAACCCACTGATGAGCTGAGCACCCCGTGATCTGATCACCTTTCCAGAGCCTCACCTCTGAACACAAGTCTTGGGGGAGGCTTTTTTTTTTTTTTGCAGTCCTTCAGAATTGAAGGTAAAGGTGAAGATGCTTATACTGCATGGCTCAGTATATCATTCTCCTAGGAATTCATAGAAAAACTCAGACATGGGGCCAGGGAGATGGCTCAGTAGGATAAGCGCTTGGCTGACAAACGCAAGGATCTGAGTTCAATCCCCAGTTCCGCCAAAAATAAATAAATAAATAAATAAATAAATAAATAAATAAATAAAATGAAAAACTCAGACACTTGGGCACTCAGAGGAAAACAAGAGTATCCCTGGCGAATATGTACTAGTAAAACAGTGAATCCAAATCTGTATCAGCCGCCTAGTGCATAAATAAGCTGGGACTTACTCATACAATGGAATACTTTACAACAATGAACACAAATGGTTAGAAGTTTACACAACTCAGCCACACAATATGGAGTAGAAAAAAGGTAAGCCATGTGAAAATGTACACAATATTATTCATTTTATGTGAAGTTTAGAGACATGCAAAATAACAATGTATTGAGGATGAATTAAAATGTGAAATGATAGGGGCCGGGGAGATGGCTCAGTAGAATAAGCGCTTGCGGCCTGAGTTCAATCCCCAGTTCCAAAAAAAAAAAAAAAAAGTGAAATGAAACTGCCTAGAAGAGGAAAGAAGTGATAAATTCAAATTCAGGATATTGTTTCCCTCTGTGGGAGAAATAAAGGCGATGGCATTAAGGAAGATATTACAATGATCAAAAGTAATGATCTTTTTTTATTTTTAAGCTGAGTGGTGGGTACACCAGCATATAGTACATTATGTTCTATTAAACCTTCACATGTTTTATAAACCAATAAAAAGAGAAATAGTTGGGGGAAAAAGGAATCCAGGGTCTTCACACCAAGCTACATCCCCATCTCTTTCTTACATTTTTTTTAGAATTTTGAGCTAAGAGACTGGGCATGGTGGTGTGCACCTGTAATCCCAGCCCTTGGGAGACTGTAAACAGACAGATTGCTGTGAGTCCGATCTAGTAGTAAGACACTGATCATCCTGTAGACCCTTACCTAAAATACAAAAAAAAAATTAATTTTGAAAAAGAATTTTGAGATAAGATCTTGGTAAATTGTCCAGGCTGGGGTTAAACTTGAGATCCTCCTGTCTCAGCCTCCCAGAGTGCTGGGATTGCAGGCATTTGCCACCATGCCCAGTTTAGGAGAGATTTTTGAACCAAATAATAACAGTTTCTTTGCTCTCCCTATTTGTGTTCGGAAGGGCAGGGTAAGGACCACTTCCTCACAAATCATTGTTTCACGTTTTTAATAATAAGCTTCTAGGGGATTGGGAGTATGGCTTAGTGTTAAGGCATTTTTGCCTAGCAAGCCCAAGGGCCTGAGTTTGATCTCTACACTGAAAAAAAAAACCCTATAAAACATATTTTTTGAGATGGTGTCTCACTGTGTTGCCCAAGCTGGCCTTGAATTTACA